ACACACACACAAAAGACGAATCAGGAAAGGGTATTTATCAAAAACAAAACAAAAAAACCTTCAAATTTCCTGAGCATTACTTTGGTGACCACCAAGAATTTTTCTACCCAATAGTCTCCACTAGCTGTTTTAAGAATTAAGCCCCTTGTACATAGTATAGAAGTTTCATCACGTAAACACAATTATCTCCCATCCTAGGTATCTTGGGGGTTCTGCATGCATTTCTTATGTTTTATCCAACAAATATTTTTTGCATAACTATTATGGACCAGGCAGCATAAAACCTTATAAAGATCAGCTTGTCTTCTCCACCTTCAAGAATTCAAAGTCTGAGAGTATAAATAAGACACGCTGATAGATAACCATAATGCAAAGTAGAGATGATTCAGCAGGTGATGACGATGATAGTGGTAACAGTAATGTAGGTGGAATACTGTAGGCACTGAGAGCTTAGGATCACGTCCTTTCTGCTCATCCTGGCTCCAAAAAGCCACTTCACGAACTGCATAAAGATTCTATTTCTACCAACAGAAGTGAGCCGAGCTGGAAGACTTCTGGTTGTAAGCAGCAGGAACAGGGTACAAAGACCTAGAGTGGTTAAATTACTTTCCTACACCCATTCATCACAGCCAGGTGGGGTGGCTCACACCTGTCTCCTAGCACTCCAGGGAGTCAAGGCAGGTCGGTCACTCCAGCTCAGGACTTCCAGACCAGCCTGAGCAAGAGCAAGATCCCATCTCTACTGAAAACAGAAAATATTAGGCAGGTATTGTGGTAGGCACCTGTAGTCTCAGCTACTCAGGAAGCTGAGGCAGAAGGATCCCCTATGCCCAAGAATTTGAGGTTGCTATGAGCTATGATGCCACAGCCCTCTACCTAGAGCAACAGAGTAAGTCTCTGTGTCCAAAAAGTAAAAATAAATAAATAAAATAAAATAAAAATTTTAAGCTGATTTATTTTTTTTTATTAAATCTTAGCTGTGTACATTAATCCAATCATGGGGTATACAATGTGCTGGTTTTATATACCATTTGAAATACTTTCATCAAACTGGTTAACATAGCCTTCACCACATTTTAAGCTGATTTAATAAATCAGCAGTCACAGCATTTGGAAATATAGTTTAGTGTCCCCATTCTAATATTTATAACTCATTTTATTTTTTGCAATTTTTGGCCGAGGCTGGGTTTGAACCCACCACCTCTGGCATATGGTGTCAGCACCCTACTCCTTTGAGCCACAAGGCGCCACCCTATAACTCATTTTTTATTTTACCTCATTGGTAAGATTTTTCAAACAATCCTTAATAATAGCAACAATAACAGAAATCCTTATTTTTCCTGTCTCTAATGATGATGTTTCTATCTATAGGAAAGGCTCTCATGTTCTATTGTTGAAGATAATATTCGCTGTCTTCCCAATATGGTATTTATTTTATACTTCTCTCTAAACACGTTCCTTCTTATGCCATAACCAGTAGAAACAGGACGGTGGCTTCTCATTTCCTCCTCAATGCTGACAATATTTTTCTTAGTGACTATCACATATTTCATTAAAAAAATTGTACCTACTCTATGTTTCCCAAAGGTAATTTTAATGAAAAAAAATAGATTGTGTTGTTTGCATTTGCTCTTTTCTTTTGTTACCTTTGCAGAGGACAGGCTGATGACATGCTGATCTTTTTCATTAGTTACTATCTCGGTGATGCTGAACATGTGTCCCACGAGTTTCCCCACGGGTTTGGTGCTGATATTGGGATGCCACAGTCGGAGGACTTTGTCATCTCCTGAAAAGGAGGAAAGGGAAAGATTATTTATTTTCTCAGGTGGTCGAACTTTCAAACATATCTCTCCCTCAATCACATTCTTATCTTTCTTCTAATATCAAATCACATCTGTGTCTTCCAGGACACGTTCTGCAGTTGAGTTGTTTTCCATCTGCTGCTGTTTTGTCATCAAGCCTGTTTTATAAGAACTGTATTTACACATACACATGAGTATGACCATGATTTAAAATGCTTGTTATTTTAGTAGGATTAAAACGATGCTTTATGTTTAGTTAACTTTTATGATAAGTAATGCGGTTGAGTATTTCTCCCATAAACCTGCTAACTGTATCTCCTTCTTCCATAATTTTTTTTTTTTTTTGAGACATGGTCTCGCTGTATTGCACTTGGTAGAGTGCCATGGCATCACAGCTCATAGCAACCTCAAATTCTTGGGCCTAAGTGATTCTCTTGCCTCAGCCCTCTGAGTAGCTGGGACTACAGGTGCTTGCCACAATGCCTGGCTGTTTTTTGGTTGTAACTGTCATTGTTGTTTGGCAGGCCTGGGCTGGGTTCGAACCCACCAGCTCCAGTGTATGTGGCTGGTGCCTTAGCCGCTGAGCTACAGGTGCTGAGCCTTCCATAATTTTTTTTACTACACTCTTTAACTATGATTTATTGGAATTCTGATTACATTAAAAATAAACAATGAATCAGAGATTTATTTTTATATGGTGTGTGTACATGCATGCTCACACAAACACATATACCCCCATCCAGTTTTATAACAAAAAGTGGCTAGGTATTCACCAAACTCGTATCTTTTCTTCCTGAGTATACAGCTAGATCATGTTTCCAGATTCCTCCCTTGTAGTTAGATGTGATCAGTTATTGACTGTTAGCCAGTAAGCTGTAAGAGGTGATTTTAGATTTTACATGACTAGATAGAAATAAATTTTCATTATATTTGAGCCATTTACACTTTGGGGTTTATTTGTTGCAGCAGCCAACACCGAAACTAGTGCACAGTTGTAATATAACTGCATTTTTAGAAAGAGTAATATAAATTGTATAATAGTTTACAGTGCACAGAATCCATTTAAAATACCGGATTTTTCTGTGTCACAGATAACTCATTAAATGATATCCTGGAAGTTGAGACATAAGAATATGAAGGAATTTAAAGTTGGAATCCTACAAATGTATGATCTAATTCAGTTATAAGAAAAAGAAAGGAACTCCCAAAGAGTAAATAATTTTAATTGAATACTTTAATATAATCATTTAACTGTTGTTCAGATTACATATCTGAAAATAGAATCAAGTTAGGTATACTACAATGCATTCTTAAGCACCTTTTTTATAACTAAGAAACTTTAGGCTACTAGGGAAAAAAATTTTATGAAAGCATTATACATTATAATTTGGATAGAACCTAAGTTATGAAGTCACAATTTACATATAAACACCCTAAAATTCAGAATGGTCATTTTACTTAATCTGGTAGCGTGCATTTGGCTACCTAAAAGATGTATTTGCTGATAGGCAAGGCCTGTCTGGAAGTATCTAGCCATGTGATATGAAAAATAGTATTAACAATGGCTGGATACTTTCCAGACAGTCCTCATATATTGTAGATTCAAGTTAATAGACTTATTCGTGCTGAAAGAGCCAGCCAGATTATAGAGGGATAATTAGGTGACTTGTTAGCTAGATACTGACAAGCCAGGCGAATGTGATAGACACAGATGTTTCCATAATTCTATGATTTTATTATTGGGCCCATGAAAAGGAGCATAGTATTTTCTTTATCCGTTTTTTGTTCTCTTTCTTTAGGGTATCCCAATCCACCCTTTAAGTCTTAGCACTTAAGAATATTCCAGAAAACCTTCACATTCTTCAAAACTGAGTGCCCTGTGTGCCTCCTTCATCCCCATGACCTTTTAACTATTTATTTGTCTGCACCATCTGTTAAACTCTAAGTGCCTTGAGGACAGGACTTTTTCTTGTTTACTGTCATCTCTGCAGTGGGTAAACTATAGTTCAACAAATACATATTGAATAACTTCGATAACTTCAGTGTTCAGATGATGAATCACAGCTCAGAAGTTTGAACGTCATGTGCCAAAAGAGGGAGAAAACATGCATTAAATGAAAAATGCATCTTAGTTAAAGGTTCATCTGCCTCTTCGGGGAAAGTCAACAGTTCATTTCAGAGGCTCCCTAATCTTGGAGTATTGTTAGTGGCAGGCCGAAAAAGCTCAGGTCACAATTAATTCTTAGTTTCCATTTCTCAAGCAACCGCTATGGATTGAGTTCGTTTTCCTCAAAATTCATACATTGAAGGCCTAACCCTCAACGTGAAGTTATTTGGAGATGGGGCCTTTGGGAGATAACTGGGGTTAGATGAGGTCACGAGGGATTTGTGCCCTTCAAGAAAAGACACCAGAGCTTTTCCTCTCTCTCTCTCTTTCTCTCCCCCTACCCCGTGAGAATACAGGATGGAGACAGCTGTCTACAAGTCAGGAAGAGAGCTCTCACCAGCAACTGACCATGCTGCCAGCTGATCTTGAACTTCTAGCTTCCAGAAAGGTAAGGATATACATCTCTGTTGTTTAAGCCACCCGACCTATGGTATTTTGTTATGGCAGCTTTAGCTGACTAAGACATCAGCCAGGATATTTTAAGGACTATGTCAATGAGCAAGTGGGATACTTTCTTAAAATTTAAACATCAATACTACCCTTCTTAACAAGTGCAAAGATTTCTTTAGAAATGACTAAACACTTCGTATTTTGCCGTGTGTTAAGGACACAGAGAAATTCTACATATATTTCCTGCCCAAAGTCTACTTTTGCAGAAGACTAAAATTTATACCCCTTTAGTCCAACATTGCTTTCCCCAGTGCCCTTGCTAATCACTTTCCTCAGCCCCAAATGGACCGGAGTCCTTCTTATGGGTTCCTAGGGCATTTCCTTTGGATTTCTTTTATCTATAGCACAATTATAGTTGTCTGTTTACACATCTATCTGTGTCTATAAATGTCCCTTGTTTGGTGAGCCTTATATTTCTTATTGATGGCAATGTTTGACAGGTAGTAAGTACTTAATACATGTTTACTAAGTAAGTGGGTTGGCTAGGAGAGTCACTCATAAAGTGAAGCATACGTATTTTAAACATACCTACTTTAATTTGAACCCCGGCTCTGTTACTTAACTGATTATAGCTTTATGACATTGAGTTAAGTTGCTTCACCTCTCTACATATGAGTTTTCCTATAAAATGAAAGTAAGTGGTATTTAAGACATAGTTTTATTGTGAGGATTAAATGGAATCATGCTTGTGTAGCTGAACAGTTGCTGGAGCATGAACTGACAATAAATACGACTGCCATTATTATACTAAGCCCCTGCCCTCTATAATGCGTTTAGAGAAGGTCGGGGAGAGGAAATGGTACATAGATTTATGAAACATGGTCCCTGCTTTTGAAAGTTTAGAATCT